CCAGCACAGGCGCTACACGTGAAAAGATCTGACATTAATATGAAGGGTGGATTTGGAAGAAGATGGATTGACAATATTAAAGACTACGTCGACATGGAATTACAATAGCCAAACTGTCCCTCACCACGACGCTTACTGCCAAAAGTGGAACGTGAAGTTTGAAGTTTGAACAACGAATCAACGTCAAGGCACACGGGTAGTAACCAATAAGTGCTCCGTTCTTCTTCTAACTCAAGTCTGAGTCCGAAGAAGCTCAGCAGAGTACACATGCTCTGTGGCACCGGTGAGGATCCTAAAATACTTTGGGTAGATTTTTAGCTCCACATTTTGCGCGGGCAGCGCTGTTGGGTTACTCTTTTCGTTTTCCAACTGTCAATGCATTTTTTTTTTTACGTGCGCAACAATGTTTTTCTGGCGTCCGATCTCATTACCCAGAGACCAGGAGGAATTACTAAAGTCCAAGTCTACGTGAAACAATCCCAGGCCTTACCGAGAACCTCTAGCACTCGCGGCGGACACTATGCCTTGAGACCACACGTGGAACTTTATGATGTCGACGATGATTGTATTACTATTTTTGTCAATGCGATTGGTGTTGGTTAGGTTATTACTTTTTGCCTAGCAATAGCTTTCAATATATACCCCTAACCGTCTTCTTTTTTCCTCTTCCTTCTGTTCCAGTCATCATTATAACAGGTCCTTTGTTGAACGTCGTTCTCATCACAGTCCGCCTGAAAGAATCTCGGTCTTCCGTCAGCACCACCTGCCTCTTGTACTTCCATATTCAAGTAGTCACTTATATGATGTGCCCATCTTCGTGTTGGTCGGACCCTGCCTCTCTTTTCTGGTACTATGCCTTCTGCTATGGTTTTTTTCCCCAGTTCGTCAGGGCGCTTGATATGACCAAAAATTTTCAGCTTCCGAGACAGGATGGTGATTACTAGCCAAACTTTCTTGATGTTCAGATCTTTTAAAATGTCAGTTTTTCTTCTCTACTTTTTATTGCGCATTACTTTCTCAGATAAAGCTATTTTCTGTATCCAATCCCTTCTACATAAAGATGTGGGCCATGCATTTGATTTGTTCTTCCTATTAGGTTTTCATAAGATAGTTTGTAGCTTCTCCTCCTCTTTATCGTTTATCCGCTTAGAGCTTCGACGCCTCCTTTGAAGGTTTCTGGTTGTTCGTGCATTTCTGGACTTTGGTCTTATTCCAGAACTGGAGTTTTACGTGCACATCGGTTTCACAAATCTGGCTTAATTATACGCACAACTCGGTTCTTCGCCTCCCATGTCCGATGTCAAACACCCCCAATTAGTCGCCTCCTACGACATGCTTGTTTGATTGGGGGGGGGTGGAGTTGGGCAGAGCAGTGGGTCAAATCTCTTGTCCTCCAGCTTGGGTCCCGGAACCCACATTGGGAATCTTGTAGCAATACCTGTAAATCTAAGATCATGTGTGTATGTTCTCTTCATTGTCCAAAATATTTCCATTCATCATCATAATCATCATCATCATCTTGATCTATCAATCTTGCCATTCGTTACCAAGCACTCAGATTCATTCCTTCTCATAATATATACAAAGTTCCAAATACCCTTCTACAAAATCAATTTCACAGCCTCCAGATGTATTTCCTCCACTATTTACTGTAATGGCAGTGTACATGGCTGGCTTCTTGTAAAAGAAAAAGATAATTCGATCTCGTTCAGACATTTTCAGCTATGTAGCTGATGCCTATATTTGCGATCTTTATTGAGTATGATTTGTTTGGATATGGTTTTCTTTGGTTCCATTTTGTTATGTAGTGTACAAGTCGAGTTGTCAAGCCTAATAAATCTTTCTAAAACAGCTGTCGGCCAATGTGGCAGGTATAAATTGAGTTAGGCCACCATTTTCACTTAACTCACAATTTGGAGCTAATTTACCTTGAGGTCGACTTGTACATAGCAATTGTTGCTATTTATTTTTGTGTATAGCATTGACATTCATACATAAAAAAAGAACAAGTTATTCTTTAAATGCACAGAAAACAAGTAACTGAATGTGACCACGTAGACAACTATACTTGTTACTTTTCAGAAAAAAAAGGATGTGAAATGTTTCTGCACAGGAAACTAATATACAGTGTTACTACACATACAAAGTATACAATGTTATTGCACAGAAAACAAATTTAAATGTTACTACACATGAACAGTGTACATTGTTGCTACACACACAAAAATTTACACTGTTACTACACATAAATATTTTACACACTGTTGCTACTCATAAATCATGTATATACTATGACTACACTTAAAGCCATTGTAGACTGTTACTACACATGATGCCATTCTACACTGGTACTATACAGAAAGTCATTGTACACTGTTACTACACAGGAAGCCATTTGTACACAGTTACTATACAGTTAATAAATAGAAAGCCATTACACAGTCTAACTACACACCTTTGATCTTAAAACCGACAATTCATGCTCCAAATTAGCAACCTTGTGTTTGAGTCGCTTGATCACAGTTTTGTCATCGACTTCTTCATTTCTCCTGTGTGCACAGAACAAATAAAAGGAACTGGTTAATCACGGAAATCAAATGCGAGATAAATTAAATATACTTGATGCTAGGTCTGAAAATCTATAAGGGAAAGACGAAGATAATGTGAATACATCTGACAAATAGTAATGCGGTTTCTCTTAATGGTATCCCACTCAAAGACATGGAGTGCTACACCTTTCTGTGCAGTAATGTAGATAAAGATGGGGAAACTGTTAGAGCGATTAAAATACAAATACAAAAAGCAGGAGGAGCTTTCACAGCACTAGGGAATTTGTAGAGGTTAAAATAAATCAAAACTAGTGATGAGCTGAAAAATGTTTTATTTCTAATGTCAAATCAGTACTATTGTATGGAGCGGAAACACGGAGAACATCTTAAGCAATTAACAATAAACTACAAAAATTCATTATCTGGTGCCAGCGCAGAATCGTGGGAGTTAAATGGTATGATAGAATCACTAATGTAGAGCTCTACGAGAGAATTAAACAAGTTCCAGTGGATCAAGAGGTGAAGAAAGGACGCTGGCGTTAGATACGACACACGTTGAGAAAACTTCAGAACAAAATAATTTGTATGTTTTTACCCTGGAACCCACAGGGGCATAGAAATAAATGAAGAAAAAAAAAAAACCATGGATAAGGGATGTAGAGAGTGAATTTAAAAAGATGGGGAGGACATGGGAAGAGTTGCATGCAATAGCGAATGACAGAACGACACGATATGTGTTGGCTGAGTGCCTATGCTCTATTGGGGTTAGAAAGGCAGAAGAAAATAAAACAAAAATCTCCGACTGGGTTCCGGGGCCCCACTGTGGGGAAGAAAAGAAGAGATCCACTGCCTTCCTAGCAAAGCATGTCGTAGGAGTCGACTAGTATGAGGTTTCCTTCGAAGTCTTGAGTACATTTACCCGTTTCACACAATTCATCGACGCCTGTGGCTTGGGCATTGCCAGTGCGATTGGCAATTAACAGGTGCCAAGTTCGACCCCAGCTGCAGGCGATTTAGCAGCAAACTGCCTGTTGTTTAGTTTCGACAGTGATATCGAGAGCTGACCGTTTAGAAAGCAATGGCACACTGCTGAACGTACAAAATTGCCTAGTGAAATCACAAACATCTCATAACTGCTGGGGTGGGTTCTCCAATAGCATGTAAAGGACAGGCAACTAACTACCTTAACAGACAATTCATACAGTATCGACAATCATCATCAACAGTTAGCATCTTTATAGTCGTAGTCACATTGGACTCGCAGTCTCGATTCTATTGGTTCTGTTCTGTCTTTCCAAACAATTGTATTATATTGCGCTATGAGGCAGCATGGGACTCACAGCCCATGGCGATGACGAATATGTCTAGCAAGATCCACTTCCCCCCCCCCCTCCCCACCACCGAAACGTTAAGAAAAGTCTTCCACATTTATAGCCTGGGATTTCAGGACCGTTATTGTCAACATCTGTGTTTAGTGTGTTTTTTCTCAGACGCTGAGCTCGACGCTAACCTTGCAGTCTATTCCCCCATTATATTTTATCATGTTTAACCTTCTCAGTTTCATAGACAGAATCCAATCCAGCACTGTATACTTTTTCCTCAAGCTTCGGCTGGATTCTGTGTTTTTGGGAGCGGGAGGGTGGGGGATGTGAGGGGAGGTGGTGGTGAGGTTAGGGGGGGGGGAGGTGGCGTCCCAGCTACCGCAATCTATTTGTTTCAATTTCTGTGTCTCATTGGTACGTCTGTGTCCTCTCTTCAGGATGTGACTACAACATCGAGGTCTTCTGTGTCTTTTATCTGTGGATACTAGTTGTTGCTCAGATATTTCTCTTATTTCTTCTTCTGACACGGGGAATCCGAAATTATTATCTGTGTCATTCACTTTATAGCTACTATAGGAATAAGAAAAAGAAATATAAGCTCACCTGGCATTGTTGGCTATGCGTGCAACCCTCTGTGCAAACCGGCATGTGGAAATTGATTCACCAAGGTTTTCTGGTTCCATAGAAATTGTCGCAATCATTGCCGTTAGGCAATTTCCTCCTGGATAATTACATACATGATAATAAATTCAGGAACAACATAACAGTATAACCGCTTGTGGAGGAAAGATAACATCACTGAAAAAAAAAAAAAAAAATATTCTCAATGAAGAAAACAGCTTAATAAATGACGTAATAGAAATGAGTGAATTAACAATTGACATCACTGCACTCGGGACATTTTCACACGTGCTCAGTTTCCTTCCTCGGTAACCAATAAAAAGTCGACACGCTAATATTACCAGTTGCAACCTGATTAAAAGACTGCCTGTGTTTCCCCCTCAGTGCCTAATATCTTCCAGAGCCTCTACACTCCCCGCTGAGTTAGTCTGTCAACGTCTGTAATCCCTGTTTATTAGACTGTCCATTTGATCACACAGAGAGCCGTCAGCACGTCTGCTTCATTGTGAGGTAGCTGGCAACTCGGTGAAGCAGCAGCAGGCAATCCACCAGTCTGATCGTTACCTCGCACACCCGAATATCATGGACCGAAAACAAAAACCAATAATACAATTTATGCAAACACGTATGACGTAAAAGAGCCGACTAGTTTGGGGTCTTTCTTTGAACTTGTTTTGCATCTGCTTGTGCGGGGGAGGAGGGAACATCCAAGCTCCTTCAATCTATTTCTTTCCATGATTTGTATTTGAAACTGTGTGCATCTGACTGAGCAGCGGCGAGCCAACAGTTTGCATACAGATAACATACAAATAAGCCAGATCTGTAAAATGGGTGTCACGCAAAACTCAAGTTTTTTTTATCAGGACCAGTGTCTAGAAAACAATAACAGATCTCTTCGCCGAAGTTTACAGCCTGTGAACGAGAAGAAGAAGACCTGTGAAACTGAGGCTGCTGTAGAGTAGTGGCTAAAGGTTGGCATGCCGATAGATATCTCATGGATGTGATTCTGCACTGAGCAGATTTAGAGACAAACGGGCTTCCATGTCGTCCCAGCCTGAAATCAGTACAATGTAATGTCATTGAAAGTAAAGGTAGTCGGCATAATGATAACCACAGCATCCATCCAGAGCCCATTGGCCTGTACAAATATGAATTACACATCTAAGGCCCATACGCCACGGGCTACTAAAAAAAATTTCCCTTACTTATTTACCTTATGTTTCTCTAGAAGTCGGCCTCTATGGCTTTGGTGTTGCGAACCCTCTTGTAATGCCGTGGGTTGCCGGGTTCGATCTCAGCTGCGGACGATTTGTCTTGCGTTGGTTTCGACAGTGGTACAGAGAGCTGACCGTTTGGTGGGCAATGGCAAACTATTAAACGTAAATTTATTTAAATAAAAACCTTAACAGCCACACACACAAAAAATGCCGCGACTCTATGATATTCTTTGCATTCTTTTCACAAACCCGCATCTTCGAACTTGAATGAACTCTAAAAATATACCTACCTAAAGAGTCTTTCAGCACCATAGTGAGCAGTGAGTTCCTGTAAGGCACATACTTATACGGCTTGGTCCCGCTGTCACTTGATGGCCCAGACATGAATGAGGTGTTACTGAGAAAGCGGTGATTAAAAAGCAGTTCTGTTAAAAAGGAAGATCGGCTGAGTTCAATTTCCTGTTTGAAAACTGTAAGAAACGGTAGGTTATAACCAAAACCGGCTCCATACGTTTAAACGTATCGTTAGCCCTATTCTGTGACGTCAGCAGCATGGTCCGTCAGCTGGAGCCGGTCTTGGTTGTAACCCACCCACCCTAGGCCACAGGGTTACTTTGTAAACGTTTTTGTGGTGTCCCTTATAAAACTGTGCCATTTGGCTTTTCGGTTGAACGGGGTTTCCGTGATGTGTTGGCTGGCTAATTCTTATTGTTGAGATGGTAATCCTGCAAATATGGAGGAGGATTATTTTTTTTAAATCCTCCTTTTCTTCTTCTTTACCTCCACCATTTACCTCAGCGAGGTGTTGGCTGGAGATGTAAAGAGCGTTTATGTGCTTTTTGCAATGCATTGTACAAGCTGGTGTTAATTTCTTTTATGTTGCTCCTGGTGATGTCGCTCAATATCTTGCGTGGTCTTCCCCTTGCCCTGTGATTATTATATTTCTTTATTATGGCTCTCTGTGGCAGTGGGTTTTAAGGCATTCTCGTCAGGTGACACCAAACCATCTCACTGATTGTTCTTTAGTGAACTGTAGGACTGGTTTCAGTCCTAGTCTTCTTCTAATTTCTTCATTCGCGATTTGTTTTAAAATCACCGTCAACTACTGAGTTTAAAACATTACCCTGACATAACTACACATCATTTGTCTACTAGCCCCATAGTCCTGAACTCAGTCCTCCCTAAGGTGAGATATTTGTTAAGCCCACGCGGCTCTATGGTCGATCTAATCTCATAACATGAGAACTAGGCAGGCGCGTCCAGACATTCAACACGTTATTATTATCACACCAAACGCATATTCAAATCGACAACGAAGAGATTGAATGTCGCCGATTTGGAATATTTAGGCACAGCAGTGAACAACGACTGCACACAAGAACACAGAAAAAAAAACGCCCTAGCATTGCAGGGGCTAAAAAGAATGAACAGCCTATGGTACTTCACCTGCAAGCAGGTTTAATTTTAAAAAAATCAAGTTAAATCATGCATATTTCCTGATTTGAGTCAGGGCCTCTCACCCAGTCTTTAAAGAAACACACTGGAGCATGTGAAACAAAAGGCTCAAAACCATTCATAGAATATCGTGGGCCAAGAATAAGAAATAATCGACACCCCAAATGACTGAGCATCTAGGAGAACTGGCTCATAAACAACATCCTGTCCCGAAAGATGAGGTATTATGTTCATGGCAAGCGCCACAGTGGTCTGCAGAGAACTGTGATAGAGGGTATAGTTTCTGAAAAAACGAGGCAGACGTCGACCCCTGCGAAGGTGGATACATGACACCGAAGGCGCATCGGCTAAGAAAGCACACAGGGCTGGAGAATTGGCCAGAGAAGGAGAGACTTGCAGGCGTGCGGTGAAGAGACTGACGTTCAGTAAAGGACACTCTGATTGTTTGGTAAGTATTATTATTAAAGTGCTACTTGGAATGTTAACGGACAAGGAAACAAAGAGCAGAATTCATAGTCCGCTACGTATAGCGTTGAATGGTACTTGTCTGAAGAAAGTTAAAGAATTTAAAAAAAGATTGGAATGCGCCACCTTATGAGCAGTCGACTTTACTTGCAAGGACATTATCTGCCACCTTTTTGAGGCAGGGAACCAATGTCATTTTTTTTTCTGAATTCACCCCCACCCCATCTCAGCCAATTTGCGCACTTTATCTCACGACTTTTCTACCAGCAATCAAGTGTCTAACCATCAAGCTACCATTACTCACATACTCACACCCATTTGCATATATCAGGAATGGTCAGCTTTTTTTTTAAGACTCAGCTTTTACTTTTTATTTCACACAATTTGAGACATACTCTCACGATCTACCTATTTATCAAGGCTTGCCGATTGACTAGTCATCTACCTATCTATCAAGGCTTGCCGATTGACTAGTAAATCGCCACCGACACACTGGCCACAACTAACCCATCTAAAAGCATCTCTGCCTTACCTTCGGCTCTGTGAGGGTGGATTATCTATCCTGCTTCTATCTCCGCCAGCGGTACTGCTTGAACTGGTGCTGCGGTCTGTCTGAAGTGCAATGATGACCGTCTCAAGATGATGCAATGACAAATTGATCGACTTGGCTTCAGTCAGCTGCTGCCCGTCCACTCCTGTTTTGGATACACGCTCGGATCCGGCCAGATCTACTAGGTGTAGCTTCGAACTGTTGGAACACAAGTTGTACAAATGGTGTATAGATTGTAAGTTAGTTAGTCAGTCAGTCAGTGAGTTAGTTAGTCAGTCAGTCAGTCAGTCAGTCAGTCAGTCAGTCAGTCAGTCAGTCAGTCAGTCAGTCAGTCAGTCAGTCAGTCAGTCAGTCAGTCAGTCAGTCAGTCAGTCAGTCAGTCAGTCAGTCAGTCAGTCAGTTAGTTAGCTAGCTAGCTAGCTAGCTAGCTAGCTAGCTAGCTAGTTAGTTAGTTAGTTAGTTAGTTAGTTAGTTAGTTAGTTAGTTAGTTAGTTAGTTAGTTAGTTAGTTAGTTAGTTAGTTAGTTAGTTAGTTAGTTAGTTAGTTAGTTAGTTAGTTAGTTAGTTAGTTAGTTAGTTAGTTAGTTAGTTAGCTGCGTATTCTTTACATAAAGTTGCAGAGCCAACCACAGCAGTTTTTGACTGTCGTGGTTTTTCTAGGCAAATTTTAGGTTCATAAAGTTTTCCATTGCTTACTAAACAGTCAGCTCTCGGTACTTCTGTCAAAACCATCGCAAGACAAACGTAGTAGCCATTAAAAATACATCACAATCGTGATCATCATAATCATCAACATCAGCTTTACCATGTAGTAGCTCTTATACAAAGTCTATAGAAAACAGCAAGTCACAAAGAAATATTTTTATATAAATCATTTTAAGGAGTTTGAATTAGCTGGTAGAGGATATATCATTGTCCTCATCATCGTGATCATCACCACTATTATCATCAACACCATAATTAACAATACCAACATCCTCATCATCAAGTATCTTGCCGACCGGCCTAGGCGATCATTCCTCTTCATAATCTGAGAAGGTGGACATCACTTTTTTTTTTTAAATAAACCGTAGTGTTGTAGAGCTACACGTGTTGAGGTATGGTGTAACATTGAGTCTTATATGTGGTTGGTGTTTATGTGAAGATAATAAGTTCATATGTATGTGAAGCTTAGTAATACAAGGTGGCATACTGGCTAAAATATTATGAAAACACTGTACATGTGTTTATGTGCGTATATTGGGTGTGTGTGTGGGTTGTGTGTGGGTTGTGTGTGAACTGTGTATGTGTGTGTCGTGAACAGTCTGTCATAGATGTCTTGCCGTGTTGAAACTCCCTGCTGCACTCATACACTTGCTGCACTAACAGTAAATTAAGGCAAATTGCAACAATTAAAACTATGACTACTACGCTAAACGCTACAATAAAACAGAAATATTTCAGAACCTAATCAAAACACCATTATACACCAACGATGGAAACTCTCTCTCTCTCTCTCTCTCTCTCTCTCTCTCTCTCTCTCTCTCTCTCTCTCTCTCTCTCTCTCTCTCTCTCTCTCTCTCTTAAGTTTTCCACACATACACAAAACAAATCATCATGTTCAGTCAGCATCCCCAAACGGGGAGCTTTTGGTTACAATTGTGACTTAGGTTATTTGGGCTATTTAAGAATGGCTTAACATTGCTTGCCACCAAGTAGCCCTGAAGAGGACTCTTGCAATGCTGATTCGCTGAAAGGAGACATACCCAAATACTGTCCCCACCGACGACGAAGTCGTCTACTGGCCAGTCAATGGGTGACCCGGTGACTGATGCAATGGAGA